GGCGCCGGATGATTTTGAAAGAGGCTCGAAGAGAGCGAGGTTGAATAACGCGAGAAACAGAAAGAATAGCGAGATTATGATCATTTGTAGCAGTTCTAATAAAATTAAAAGAATAAATGTGGGACGCCTCACGATTTTGCGTGTCATCCTTGCGCAGAAGCTATGCTAATCTTCTCTGCATCGTTCCAGTTTTAGTATATCTACTACCGAAGCGAGTACTAATCAAATTAAATATATTAATTTCTGTAATAACGACTGACAAGTCAATTTAATTCCAAATTAAACATTGTTATCTACAAGTGTCGATGTAAAAAATAAAATCGTCCTTTTTTGTCATTTTTCTTGTAAGGTACGCAATATAAACGTGAAAATTAATATATTTAATTTATAACTATATTGCATTCAATGCATTCCACTATCTGATTCGTTCAAAATTTTCTATTGTGCTTTGCTTTACAGGTTATCGAAATAGATGAGATACTTTAGACTCGTTATCTTAAAAAAATTCTACAGATAGTCGTGCTATATAATTTGGATGACTGTCCTGATAGAATTTTAAATTGGTCCGAATTTCCAGTTTAATACCGTTTATATTTAATGCTCTACGTCAGCTTGTTTCTTAAAATGTTTAAATATTATATACTTAAATAAACGAAACACTTCATTCACTACGCATAAAAATCTTTCTTTCCTGAATAAGATCCTATAAACAGATTTCACATAAATGTTCTTCAACAAGTTTTAATATTTCTAATGGTCCTAAATTTTCATTAGACCGGCAACTGGTTCATTGAAACCATTTAATGAGATGTTAATGAGAGCAGCCTTCAAACTGCTAATGAATGCATTTCCCCCTATGTTTCGAAGAAAATCTCATCTGTCAATTTCGAAGCATTCAGAGAAAGATCGTGTATTTTTCGCAGAATTCATCTCGCATATTTATTATCGAGAACTCTTGACCAGCCAGTTTGTGGAATTTATTCAGATTGATCTTTATTACGGAATGACATATGCGACAATCCTCTCCAGTAATTTTCGTACATTTCCAATTTCACGCTATAATTTGCTTTTCATGGCGAAAAATCAAAAGCTATTGAATATAAAACGAAGAATTTCTAGATTTAGAATCCATTTTAACGAAAATAAAACACAAACGAGAGAAATTATAGAGAATTACTGTCGTATGTTCAGTGTACAATACGTACACATAACACGTTCTTCGACTTAACAAATTTCTAGAAAGGATAATCTGAGGAACGTCTTTACTATCGGTTCCAATATTCATTTCATATATCGTTAATTGAATTAAATTAATTTTAAAAATTTCACAGATTTTGTAATTTCAATAAGTAATTAAATTATATAAAGATGAACGTGAGTATTGAATGAACAAATAATTAATAAATAGCAAAATAATAAATACTATAAGTATAAATAATAAAATAATATAGAAGAATGATATGAGCAAGTAAAAACAAATATGCAAATAGTTTTGTTATTTATTATACACGTTTAATAATAGAACTAACAAAAAGAAAATAAAAAAAATGAAAGCATAATCTGCAAGAAGAAATAAATGAAAATGTTACAAATTGTCTATAAAAGCAATACAAATATTAACTAATGAATAGGATGCAGAATAATGTGTTAGTGATAATAAATTCTGTATGGCAGAATACGACAGTGTTTACTTAATCTGTATTGATGCTTCGTGTCTCGGGACGATTCAATGTGACTGATAGTTAATATCATTAATGGAAATCTCTTAAACTGCTTAAGTTCTTATTTTAAAATAAGAACAGTCATTCCTGCACATTGATACACAAGTTCGGCATGCATGTAACGTGAAATTTATTACAGTACAAATTCCCTGAGAATTTCGCTGAATAACAACTCAATTATTAATTCGTTACGCTAGTTTTTCACGTACAGCTACTTTAGTTGTGTCTATACTCCGTGCAAATACAGATAAAATAAGCATGGTCAACCTTTCGTATTTTACCGCTATGTATGTACATTTTATGCTTAATGTTTGCTTATAATTTTACAATAGAACACTCACAGCTAATGTCTACATAACATTTTTATTTATTTTTACTTTTAGATTAAGTTCTTCTAGTTCGTGAGAAAGAACGAGTACAATTAAAATTATTCTCTATAATTATCTCTGCATATTTTAAAATATGTCATATCAATACTGTTATTCTCTTAATATCGATCATGTTATTCCTTTTCTGATGTTTTCCACAATGAAACATTTTAACATTTTATCCAGTTCAGTCTTATAAGTTTGTTGAATATATAGTAACTAATTATAAGAAACTATTAAATTATTATTTAATTTATTATTATTTTATTTATTTATTATTTTAGATTTTTATGTTTTTGCACTCTAAAATAGAAACATCACTGTAAGTACAATCTAATGTACAACTATTTTTGTATCTCTTATATAATTGCAACCGTTACAGATGGCTTGAAATAATCAAATAACATTCAATTAACGATGAACATCTGTGGTCCTTAATCAAATTGCTCGCCACAGTGCATAGGAACCACGCGAATCAAAATAATTTATACCAACCGATGCATGAAATCTTATATACGGAGTGTATATACATTGAATATACGATTATGAGTGTCTACGATTACCAGATATACAATAAAACAATTTATAAGAGGCACAATACCAATCAAATAAAATAAAGGGTATCCTACAACATCGTAATCAACCTTCATAATGCTTTAACATTTACAAATGATAACAGAAAAACACGAAAACTACTTGTAACATTTTCACTATTAGAAGTATTAAGTATTAAAAAGCTACAAGAGGCAGTGAAAATGTATTACAATAGATGAAATATATTATAATTAAAATAAATAAATCGTGAAAACTGTTGAAAATTTCCCTGGAGTCTGTGGAAACACTGGCTCGTTCTCTTCGGAAGGTTTTTAAGTGACGTAAAATTCGGGTTCTTGGAGGTACTGGCTACTGAATATGGCAGTCAGCGCGAGTTGACACAAATAAAACAAGATACACGAGGAAACTTGATTCTCTCTATTTACGTATGTATGTTTTTATTCGTGTTGCATTTTATATATACTTTCCTATGTACGTGCAATTGGGTATCGGTATTATTTACAT